ACCGCACGCTCGCGTACATGCTTGCACACAGCCCACCTTTTCATCGTTTTAAGGAGAAAATATTTTTATTAATAGACTTTATATTTTAGAGCAGTTTTTAGTTTTCAGAAAAATTGAAAAGGAAATACAGAGCTACACACACACACACACACACACAGTTTCCCTCATAAGCATTTTCCATTGCTGAGGTACATTTATTACAAGTGATAAAATATTGACACATTATTAAGTAAAACCCATAGTTTACATTAGGATTCATTCTGTGCTGTACAATTATGTTAAGTAGCCACCATTACAGTATCACACAGAATAGTTCCTCTGCCCTAAAGATCCCCTGTACTGCAGTTGTTCCCTCCTCTCCCTGCCCCTCAACACCATCCCGGGACACACTCATCTTTCCACTGTTTTATTTCTGCTTTTCCAGACTGTCATATGGTTGGAATCATGCAGTAGCCCTTTCAGGTGGCTTCTCTCAGTCATACACATTTTAAGTTTCCTCCATTCCTTTTCATGGCTGGATAGCTCATTTCTCCTCCTTTTTGGTGGGGGGAAGGCATTTAGGTTTATTTATTCATTTATACTTAGAGGAAGTACTGGGGATTGAAACCAGGACCTCGTGCATGCCAAGCATGTGCTGTACACTGAGCTATACCCTCCTCCCATCAATTCTTAATGCTGAGGAACATTTGTCTCTAGGCACCACAGTTTAGCTAGTCATTCACCTATTGAAGACGTCTTGATTGCTTCCAAGTTTTCTCAATTATGAATGAAGCTGCTATAACCATTCATGTACAGGTTTTTGTGTGGACATAGTTTTTGATTCCTTTGGGTAAATACCGAGAACTGTGATTCCTGGACCATACGGTAACATGGTTTAGTTTGTTAGAAACTGCCAAACTGTCTTCCAGAATGAGCTGTACCATTTTGCATTCCCACCAGCAGTGAGTGCCTTTCACTCCATATCCTGGCCAGCATTTAGCGTTCTGAGTGTTTTGGATTTTAGCCATGCTCATAGATGTGTAGCAGTATCTCATTTTATTCCAGTTCCCTGATGACATGTGACATTGAGCACCTTTCACCTGCATTTTTGCCATCTGTATATCTTTTTGGTGAGGTGTCTGTTCAGATCTTTTGCCCATTTGTTAAACTGAACTGTTGCTTTTCTTAACTGGTGAGTCACACTATCCACTTTTCTACTATTTACATTTTTAACTTAATACTCTTCATGAATTCTGGCCACATTTTACTCAATTTTATCTCATCCTGTTTACTAGATATATTACATTGTGTTGGTGTACAATTCTTTAACAAACTCCTTATGAAAACAAATATATGTATGTAGATGCATGACTGGGACATTGTGCTGTACCTCAGAAATTGTCACAGTATAACTGTACTTAAATTTTAAAAAGCAATGAAGAAATTAAAAAAAAAAACTCCTTATAGATGAACAACATTTTGATTTGTTTCCAGCTTTTCGTTACCATTAATAATGCTCGCTGGACATTTGCTCATACACCTGTACACATCTGTCTGTTCTAGTTGTTTATTGCTGCATAATAAACTACCTGAAAATGCAGTGGTATAGAAGAAACATTTTATTATAGCTCACAATTTGTATGAGTCAGGCATTCCAGCAAGGCTCAGTTGGGTGATTCTTATGTTCTATGTGATACTCTTGTGACCTCACCTTGGTTGTCCCTACGTGGCCTCACCACATTCTATTGCTCAAGCAAGTCACTGGAGCCAACCCAGACTGAGGGGAGGGAAAATGAGACCAACCTCCACCTCTCAATGGGAGTAGACAGGTTGTGGTCATCTTCACTCTATCATACTGTCTTATTTGTATTTTAGGATAAATTCTTAGAAATTTTATTGCTGGCTCAAAGGGCATGTTCTAAGGGCTGATGCTTCAAAATGCATTGCCCAAAGAGAAGTTTGCCTGACACTCCACTGAGTATGTTTCTACTTCCATCAACCCTAGATTTCATCAGGCTTTATTATCTTTGCTTAACATGATAGAAAAAAATAAATAACCAAAGAAATAACCTCAGTACTTAATGTTTCTTTGAATTTATGTCCAGATGCAAGGGAGCTCCTACGCCCACGTGCGATCAGGACCACATGCACAGATGCTGCAGTCACCTTGACCATGAGGGACAAGCCAAGAGAATGCTGAGTTGTTGACCCAACATCTGACATCACTGAGCAGCAAAAGCAGTTCTCGGCTTCCTAACTCTGGGCGTTTGGTTCTGTGAGATAATTAAACATCTTGATTTAAGCCAAAGTTAGGCTTTCATTCTGGTACTTGCCGTCAAAGGCAACCTAATAAAAATGGCCTAACGTGTTGGAAAAGGCAGAAGCAAAAGTGCCTGTTGTGTTGTATCTGAGTAACAAGTTTCACTGTACTTGTGCTAGTTTGGCAATTTCTGCCATCAAAGGGGCACCCACTGATCCCCAGCACACGAGGGCCCAGCAGCCAGGTTCCCCCATTCTGTGGGTGAGAGGGGGGCTCCGCAGCCACAAGCTGACATACTGCACCGTGTTCCTCCCTGTCTGCCCAGTGAGTTCATCCTAGACACAGCTCTGTTGCCAGTGATTAGGTTCTTTTCTCCTTGCCGAAAGAATTCAGAGATGAGACGCGGAGGTCGAGAAAGTAAAGTGAGGATTTATTAAGGGATGAATAACACTCTCAAGAGGAGAGCGGGCAGGCTCAGGTGAGCAGCTGCCCTGAGCTTCTTCAGCAAGTTGGTTACACAGGGTGCAAAAGTGAATGGGCAGAATACCCACTGGGGAGGGAAGGGTTTGGGGTTGTATTCCCTAATTTTCATCCCAACCTCCACCTTTCCAAGTAGAGGAGGGATGTTTATTTCCTCATTTAGTCTGGATCGGAAGTGTCATGGCATTGGTGCATGATGGGTACTTCTAATCTGCAAGGCTAATTTTATTGAAATGAGGGAATAATGAGCAAAAGGTTACCTTCGGACACTGGAGATTACTGTCTTTCCCACCTTTCTTTGTCCAGGACACCCTTAAATGTGTGATCTCTTTATCAGCCCCTAGCTTCCTGCTTTTCTGTCTGCTCAAGGATACCCATTGTTTACATGATGTATGGTCCCCTGCATTTGGCCCATGCCCCTTCTTTTTTGCTCAGTTCCTGCCATCTGGCCTGTGTCCCCCTTTCTCTGCTCATATCTAGCTACCTGCCTTCCCTAACAGTTCAGGGCTGTACTGGCATTTGCCCAACCCCAGGGGGAGTTCTCCTCTGTAATCCCTTCATTCTTCTGAAGGCAAGGAGATGGACATTTTAAAACAAGACACATTGATCAGATAAAGGCAGTATTATCTACTAGTCTTTGTATCAGAAAACTATCACTAGGCTGTAGAGCAGTAACTAAGGTGCCTTAAGTCTCAGTGGACTCAGGATCACAATGGTTTATCTAACTATCGGCTGCAGTGGCTGTAGCCTGGCTGTGGCTGTATCTTCACGCCAGGATCCAGGATGAAAAAGGAGCCCTAACGGTGCACACGCTGTTCTCACACTGATGGGCAGGAAGGGGAGGGCTGGACCACACAACTTTTAAAGCTTCTGCCTGAAAGTCAGCCCCGATTCCACGCCAGCAGCCTTTGAAGGTACATAGCCAAGCTCAACACCAAGGAAGAAAACCCGTAATTGGGAGTAATAGAGTCTATCACCTTCCCAGAACCCAAATCAAACCAAGAAGGGTCCATCAGGAAAACATAAAGCCTCCGCAGGTAACCTGGGTGATGGTGAAATCGGAGAGCTGCACAACCAGAGTGAACAGGGGGAGGAAGATCCGGGAAACGGTTACCATGACCTCGGGGCAAGCACTGAGGTGGACGGTGTCCGGAGCTCAGGGAACCCGCTGCCATTCTCAGCACCGGAAAGCCCTCACCCATCTTGCGGCCCGCAGACCCGAATTTCAGGTCCACGTTTCTGCTGCCCCCAAACTCCGCACGAGTGCCTGTCGTCCGGAAGCTCTAAGTTCCGCGAGGGATTCTGGGGAACGCAGCCCCTAGCTTGTGGGCTGAACGTCGGTCACATCGAAGTCCTGATCCCGTGTGGTGCTCCTCGGCAGGGGCCCGCGGGCGGCCCCGGAAGCAAGGGAGGCGGGCCGTCTCCCCG